AAAGGTAGGAGAAGACACAGGGACAATCATCTGAATTTAGACTTGGCAGTCTATTAAAACCTAAGGGTAGCTTGTGCGTTGGCTAATGTTGAGCTTGGCAATCTGCAGACAAAAAAGCCTGTAGTTTTTTGAAACTACTTTTGTAGTCTTCTGAAAAGTTGCAATGAGCAGAAGAAAACGAAGGACATGCAGCACATGTTGCCCTCCACATTATTTTGTTCCATTTTTGAACTGTTTTCTCACCTTTCACCTCTTCTAAACACACCCAGATTCAGACATTTCAATATCAGAAAACAAAAGATGCAGTGCAGTGACACAACCTGTTCCATACGATCTGCCCTGGCTACCATCCTAAAAACTGCAATAAAGAAGTACAAAAGCAAAGGTTTCAGCAGGCCAATTTATTTTTTTTTTCTGCAGCTTTACATTTTAGAAACAGTCAGACCTCTGTTCTTCATCCCAGCTTAATGGCCATAGGGAGTCTAAAAGAGCTTTCTTCAACCCATCCCAAAAATAAATGAATAAATAAATAAGTAAATAAATAAAGTAATAATCTAACAAGCAACAGATGTTTAAACTTGCTTCAGCTGCAATTAAAACAGTCTTTGTGCTACAGAAGTCTGTGTTAAAGCTCTACATAGCCCCACCATTTCTCAGTGCCCGTTCATGTGGTAGGGCTAGACTTGTACTTCCATTTTTCCTTAGGCCCTCCCTCAACTCTCCACTGTTTTATGTAAAAGAACTGTAATATGTGCCTGGTTGGCTCTTCCTTAGCCCACCAAAGCATCACATTTCACAGGCTGGATTATGCTTTTACTATGTTTCTTTGCAATTTCCTTACTAAGTAACTTCTCACCAAGGCTAACAAAACAAATCAAATGCATAACTCCTAGGTCAAGTCGTAGCATGACTTTTCCTTTGAGTACTCAAAATTAAAAAATAATGCATCCAGTCATTCCAAAAAGAGATTTAAAATATTTCTATATCAAAAAGCAAGTGTGTTGTGACAAAACAGCTAAGGATTTAAACAATGAGACATTAATACGTTAGTATACGACTCCTAAAACAGAGCAGGGGATGAGAAATAAAATATTCAACAAAAAAATTTTAGGTGATTTATTATTTTTTAATTAATATTAAGTAGATGGTAACAAATACCACTTGTCAACAAGTGTCATGTTTGAGGTTTTGTAAACCATATTATTTTTACAGTATATTCTGATTTAGGCCTCTTTTCCAGAGATCTGATATTTTTATTTGTTTTTCTTTATGTTCATTAAGTACCCTATTCCACAAACAGCCATAGCAAAGCCCTGGTTTCCATTTATATTAAGAGGTACTCTGTATTTCTTTGTTGTTGTGTAGAGGCATTAAGACAGCCTGAATCCCAGCTAAGTAATGTAACATGACCTTGTTCACTGTAATATGTTGTCAAACCTAAGTGAGTTAGGAAAAAACAAACCCCAAAATGGAGTTAAAATCCAATGTTTGTAAATATTTTTTCACCAATGAGTAGAGACTAGTTGCTGTTATGGCATCTTGTTTGAGTAGCATTAACAATGAAGAGTATTTACGTGACACTGAAGTACTGAGGAAGGTGGGTGTTTAAATATTAACTGGGTGGTAGGCAAGTTACTCGTAAATCACATTTTTCTGGTGTTTCAGTCCACATAACTCATTTGACAAGTGAGCTGAAAGTCTGGGTGCCTTTCAGAAAGATGCATGGACAGGCTTTCTGTTGGGGTGGGGGAAACATTCAGGCAAAATTAACAAATCCAGTGACAGAATGTCTGCTTAACTCATAAATCTCTAGAGAAATTTCAGTTTTAGCCTGGAGCTATGTTTATATGTATGTCAATGAAGTTAAAATCAAAGCCCCTTGCCTGGCCTAAGGGAAAGGAAACGCATCATGAGAATAGGATACCTTCCAACACTAAGGATTCCTTATAATTTTCCACTGAACACCTCCAGGTTAATACTGTAGCAACAAGACTCTCACAGTGGAATGTGTTGAACAGCCTTTTCTTGATTAATGCTACACTTCTCCAGGAAGGATATAAAGGTCAAGGTTAGGAGGACTGCAGTGATTTACTAGCAGAAATCTGTTGGGTGTTTTGAAGGATGTTATTCAAATGTCTGCTTTGTGTCCAAATGACTGGACTTGGACGACTGGACTTGGATTGGGCATTTTCAATTCCAAGGTTGCTAGAAAGGAGAGAGCAACAGATTTGTTACTGTTGCTAAAAACAAAACAAAACAAAACAAAACAAAACAAAAAAAAAACTTCTCAAAGGGCCTTTCTTGTCTAGACAAGTGTCAGGCCCTTCTGACTTCCGCAATTGATAACGATAACGCCTTAATGACTCGTGCTATCTACTGACGGCCTCCATGCAGTGTGCCTCTGAATGCTAACATGCTATCAAAACACTCAGCATCTGGCCAAGTTTCTATCTAGTGGTGTCTAAGGAAAATTGACTTCCACTCATTATGAAACAATTTACCCTTTAGCTGGGGGCAGTTTTCATCAACAGGAAAGTAATGTAATAATGATGGCAGATTAACAAATTATTTCTAATTTATTCACTTGTAGTTTTCTGAAGCAAGTGCGACAACAATTATTAGGTTCCTTCTAGGTTTGACTTTAAATATATAAAAAATCTGCTTCTCAAATCTTGAATTGCAGAAAAGTGACATTTTGTGCAAGTGGAGATTATCTTCCTTTGTTCTGACTGATTGTCCAGCTACCAAGAAGGGTGACACAAGTATTTATTTCCTTGTTGAAAATGAAGCAATGAAATCAAGCGCAATCTACGACTATAAGGAAATGCTTTTTAAGAATCCCCTGGACTTAGTGCTCTATTTATAAGATAGGATATTACCGAGAAAGTCTCTATACTATTTAGCTATTTGGCTTAATATTTCAGGTGAAAACTAAGAAAATTCTAGCATATATGTCTTTCCTTGTTAACACTGAAGCAAGCATTAGAAGATGTATCATATGTTAAATTATTTAAGTTTAAACAGTACTGTTTTCTTCATTGAAGCTTTGGCAGGATTCTTTGATACAAGAACGATGGCCCATATCCTACCCACAACAACTTTACATTCAGAGACTCTCCGTATACGAAAAGCTAGCTGGATATACTTCTAAAATGCCTTTAGTCTGGATCCTTGGATAGACACCTGTGAGTCTTGCAAGTAACGGGGTGAAATAGAAAGCAGGTTTTATAGTCCAGATGGAAGCATTCAGAGCCAGGAGATGAATGACAAGATACCTTAAGAAAATTCATTAGGATGAATTTCTAACATTGCTTTCCTTCGCAAAAAGCTGAAGTCCTGCCCAAAGATGAGACCCTAGCTACCTCAGGTGGCACTTCAAAGTTGCATCACTGCTGATGGATAAAGCTTCTACTGGCTTCTCTTGTTTTATCAACTATACCGGTCTTGAGACCCTGTGGTCTTTCTGTTGCATCTTCAGCAAATTTCCATGAAGTCATCTTAATGGAAGTGTGTCAGTTTATTCCCCTTCAGGTGTTTCTGTGTGCAGAGACAAACTAGGAAAGAGTTACTATCTCTGTTGCTAAGTGCAACGTCTTATTAAATACGCACGTTGTTCCTACGGTCAAACTTCATTGACTATAGGAGGGTCATGAGCAAGATCTGTGCCTGTTTTCACTACTCTTCCAGCAGCCAACCACAAAATAGGCAGGGCAACCTTACTGATGACCATTGTCTTTTAAAAGAATTATGGTAACTTTTTGGTCTATTATCTCAGTCTTTTTTGCTTTATCATCTTGAAGAATTAGCCAGAGAATTAAAAAATATATATAATCACTGGTATTTGGCAATAGTCGTTCCCTTATAAAAGAGATTGAATGAGACTATAATGTCTGTTAAAATCAAAAACTTTGAACTCTGTAGATCTGCTGGTTTGATTTGCAATGTCACATCACCTCTCTCCCTGCTAATTCTTTTATTCATCTCCTATCATCTTAGGCTTAAAAGAAGAACCGTTTAAGATCATAGATTTTATTTATAAATGGTCTCTGATCTCATCATTCTTACAGTTTCATGATCATAGAAAAAACTTGAAGCAACTAGGTCATTGATGTATTTTTTTTAACTGTACCACCCTGTATATACCTTTAAATGAAGAAAGTATCTATCTTTGCACATGTAGCAGATTTTTAAGAGAATTCTTTAAAGTAGCTTTGAGGAAAAAACATTAAATTTTGTCATTAAAAGTTAAGATCCAATAAGTCAAGCAGCAGCAATGAGTTTCAAACAGTTTCTATTTACAACCGAGGAAGATCTGAGCTAAGAACTTCATGATGAATCCTTTGAAATTAAAATGCAAGATTGAATGAGAAAACAACAAGAAGGTTAAAGGGAACTCATGTGACACCTTATTATTAGGCAAGACTTTTCATTATCCTCTGTTGTTGTCTTATCTTTGGGTGCAAACAGGGTGTAAAAGTTAATCATTTATGAACAGCAGTGTCCTGTGATGAAATCGTGCCCATATTACCTCAATATAGTTTGAAAGATTAAGACCAGATGATTCATGGACTATGTGTTGAAAAGTAGGTTGTTTTCTATATATTTCCTGACATGTCCTGTAATGATCTGTGGGTAATGTGCAGGACTGTATTGGCTGCATGGGAAAGATTAAGCTGACTGTTATTTTTACCATTTGTCTTTGACTTGATCATCATCTTTAGTGTAAAAAAATGTGGTGTTTTACTAGCTTGTAAAACTTCCCAAATACACATTTCTTCTGCAATGTACAACTTGAGAATTGTTAAATATGAACCTAGTTTGGACTGTTAATAAGCACCATCTGTTCAGTCGTGAACGATTGTTACATCCAAAAAGAATCTACAGAAATATTATTTTTATATTAAATGTCATGAATAGATTTTCTTTGAGCAGATGTTCTCCCGCTTTTTAAGATTAACTGATTAAAACGTGTATATTTTCATACATACAGCCAGACAATACAGTTTCTTAGCAGTATTTATTTTTGTACAAAAAAAAAAAAGAGAAACAAATTAATTTGAAAGGAAGTCATATCTGTCTTTTGATTGCACACTTTTAAACAAAAATAATACAGAGTGGAGGATAAAAAAAAAACATTTTTTAATTTGCAACTTCAAAATAACATCTACGTCTATGAATGTTCAAAATGAAAATATATAAACCAAGAATGCTAAAACATCTATTTTACATTATCTACAAAATGTATGTTCTAATCCAGCCACAAATCATAGGAAAATACTTTGATACATGAGAAAAGCTATAAACATAGGAACATTTTGAAAGGAAATAATACACATAAAAGCTCATTAAATAATTACAACAACAAATAAATAGTTTGTTCAGCTTTACTTTTTGATTGCTGCCATGCATATTTTAATTTTTGGTATACTGAGATAAAAGAAAGGTGAGCATGCAAGGCATTTTTTTAAGAATGAATCTGAAAGCAGATACTAGGTGTTGTATTTTAAGCTGTTGTCAGAAGTTCATAAAACATGATAGAGAAGGCAACAGACGTGATAATTAACTGTTCTCATGAAAACACACAACAGAGCATCTTTTTACAAAATAGACTTCAGTGAATATTCGTGGCAACTTTTCTTTGCCTCCATGGCAGGAGAAAATGTCGAAGTTTAAAGTGTGGGTTTGGAAGGCGTGTATTATTCCCCATCTTGAGCACTTGGAAAATCACCCAAATCGTCCATATGCTGAGAATGCCCCTTTTGGTTTTGGTCAAAGCAATAAGCGTGCAGCATCAGCTGAGAGCACAGCAATGGCAGACTTGTCTTTAAGCAGTCAGAACTGTAAAGCAAACGGTTACAGGTGAGTTCAGTTTTGGCAGGAGGAGCAAGAGATGAGAGAGGAGAGAATGTCTGACTTCTAACTTGTACTGTGTTTGCTGGATTTACTGGCTCTTTTTCTCTCTTTGTGATGCTGGATGGGCTTTGCTTGAGAGGTTCCCTCAAAGTTGTGGCTGGACTCATTGTGCTGCCTGGTGTAGCGTTTACACTTGCAGGCCGTGACCACAGTTATTTTGTAGGTTCTTATACTTCCATCCTGGCACTGCAGCTGGATCCTCTGGGTGCGAGTTTTGTCGTTGACGCATCTCCACTCCTGCGAGCTCCGCCTGCTCCAGTACTTGGTTCCATAGCCTCCTCCAATCCAGTTGGGGAGCAGCGGCAAAGGGAGGCATTCACCAGCACACACCAGCTCCTTCAGGGGGTTGATGCTGGTGCACTGGCCATCTGAAATGTACTTGGTGGATCTCAGCTCCCGGCAACCAACTTGAACCCGATCTGCAGAGTGCACAGAAGGACAGACACTGAGATTCGGAATGCAAACATCTCCTTAAACAGACATTTTCACATTAACAAGAGGCATTTTGCAGAAGTTGAAGGAGGCTTTAATCTGTGTGGGACATCTTTTTACTGTTGTGTCCCCCAACACAAGGGCCTCAAGCACTGATGATATCTCTGGGTACAGCTTAAAGGAATGGTAAGGATACGCACTTCAGCAGTTGTGGGAGAAGAGGCACTTTCATTCTCTATCCTTCTTCACAGGGACATACCTTTCAGAAGAGAAAAAATGCCCCAAGGGAAGAAATGTTTCCTGCTTGTTCTAAGTCTAGGAACTTGCTCTGTGATGTTTACAACAATTATGTTGGATCATTAGCAAGGGGGAAAACAGTGCATTGGAAACTGTTTATATGTGTTTAAATTAATTTAAAATATTATGTTTCTTGTCCTTTCACGGTTACAGCGGACTGAGTGTCCCATGAGCACTGATGCTCTGAACACAGAGGTTGTGAGAGTGATAACAGCTCAAGTTTCCAGGGAATGGTGTTCTGCGTACAGTTTGAATGACTGGCAGGAGCAATTTCTGAGTGGCTGTTCTGCCTTCAGAGCAGAAGGCATCTGCCTGGTTGTAGTAATCTCTACGCTATGTGTAACATAGAGGATCCTGCAAATTCTCTCGGGCAACTGACATAGAAGGAAAATGCAGAGCTTCTAACACAGGCGTGTTTGTACCCGTCTGTGTGCAGCTCTGCACCCTGCAATAAACACAACTGTTTATTTCAGTAATTACACTTTGAAATAAACGCCCACAGCGCGCTTAATTTTAATAAGCAATCTTTACTGGCTACGCTCTCCCTCTTTCTGCAGGACAATTACGACGCAGATTCTACACACAATGCAATTAACTAACGCCTTTAAAACACAAGTAATTACCAGAAACGTTTCAGAGTGAATCATGAGAGGCTTTGAAGGTCCATCTGCATATCACAGCTACGGGCTGCTTCTGTTGGCTTTTGGGGAAGCCAGGTGGGAACGGGGACATGGAGTTAAGGCCACCCGTCCCCTGCGCCTCAGGGTGGGCAGCTCTGCGGGGCGACCTGAGGGGCTGGTCCCGCCTGACTTGCGGATGAAATTCAAGTTTCCCTTCCCGCAGCTGCACTCAGGAATGTACCTGGGAGCAGCCGGTGGCGGATCCGAGTTTGTCTCCCCTGTTTTTACGTCTCTCCTGGCTCAGCTTTTCCCCAGTGACAGCTCGGTGACAGGGAATTAGCTGCTGGCTGCCCCGGCCACCTGGCCGTGAGGGGCCCTTCCCTCGGCACCTGGCGTGGCTCCGCGCTGTGGGGGCCGCTTCGTGCCCTCCCTTTCCAGGGCTGCCTCTATTTTTATCGCCTCGCTGTGGGTGGGTCGGGTGCTTGTTTGGATTTTCTTTCATTTTAGGGAGGCGGTCAGGGAAGGAGCAGATAAAGTCAGCGGGAGGTTCCCAGCTCCCCGCGCATCTGACACACGTACATAAAACCCGGGAGGAAGCTACGGGAGGCAAGTCGGAGCAGGGCTCCCAGGTAAATGCCGAGCTCATTTGTTTACCCCCGCTGGAGGTGTAAAGCAGGTAGGCGCTCCAGCAGGAAGCAAAACCAAAGAGCGGGAAGAGAAATGGGAGGTTTGGCCGTCCTGCCTCTGAGAGCAGCCCCCACAGCCCGCTGAGCCGGGCCGGGGGGCGCTTCCCGTCCCCTCCCCGGGGACAGCCGGGGGCAGGAGGGGAGCCGGCAGCAACCCCCGGGGGGACAGCCGGCAGCGTCCCCCCGCCACCTTCCTTCACCCCCGGCGGCTCTCCCCCCGGCAGCACCCCGCAAGAGAGGGGTCGGCGGGTGGGCGGACGGACGGACGGACGGACGGATACTCACTGCCGCGCTCGGGCGCCGTGCCCGCGTAGTGCCGGCCGCCGTTGCGGGCCTGGTTCAGCGTGCTGTTGCTGCCGGGGCTCGCCGGAGCGGGTTTGACGACGTGCGAGTAAAGGATCTCGGTGGCATCGTTCTTGAAAGCCGAGAAGCTTTTGGCGAAGATGCAAGCGAGCAGCAAGGCGGAGAAGTGCACGGCAGGGAGCAGCATGGCTGGGGCGGTCTCCGAGGGAGCCCGGTGAAAGGTTTCTCCGCTGCTGCTTCCCGGGAACTCTGCAGTCGCTCTTGGACGTTTCCCTTATATATTCAGAGAGGCTTGGCATCCGTTCAGGTGTAAAGTTGTGGAGAGCTTCAGAATGAAAAGCCACAAAAGGGGCGGGATCCCTACAGCAGCCTGCGAAGACCTCTTCCCAATGGGAGCGGGCAGCGAGCAGAGGAGGGGCTGGATGCTGGGTGCTGGGTCCTGGGTGCTGGGTCCTGGGTGCTGGGAGCCCTCCTTGGGCTCCGAGGGCATCCCAAAACCCGGGAACCACGCCGAGCACTTCGGCTTCATGTCCCTGGCACTAAGGGGCACAAGGAGCCTCTGTGGCTCCTGCCATGCCAAGTCCCTTCCCCTCCTTGCCAGGGCGCCCCTCAGAAAAACTTGCCCGTGCCGTGAGGATGCAGAAGTTTGCAGATCTTGCAGGAAAGCCCTAGTAACACAAAGGCTGTCTGCTATATGCCAAGATGGCTTTAAAAAAATTATAGTGAATAATTTAAAGTTGCCTCTAGATGTTTTAAATTATGCAGCTTTGATCAAATGAGTGGAGCACTGCTGGAGAAACTACTTGTTTTAGGGGAATATTCTCTCCCTGGTGTGCACAGCTACAAGTATGTATTTCTGGATCACCACGCATAAAAGCATCTCCTCTAGGCTCCTTAGCACAAAATGTCCATATTCATAGCCTCTCACTATGCTCATTCACCAAACTCGTCTTTTTTAGTTTTGCACATTGCCTAGAGCATTTTTGTATTTTAAATGTATTATTTCATGTAATAAAGAAAACAAAGAGGGAAGAATAGTCCTTATTTTGGCATGTGCTTTTATTGTGTCACACACTTACTTGATTTTCCATAAAATTACATGGCCCAAATCCAAACGCTAGTGTAAATTGAGATGCTGTCAGTAGGCCAATGCTTGTTTGCATCGGCGGTGAACGCTCTGTAGATTTTCATTATAAATAAAACAACTGTGATCAACACTGAAAACTATAGTGTTCCGATTAAAAGGAAACGTTTTCCTTGGGAGAAAGCACAGCCATGCGGGAGGTGACATCATGTAAAGATTAGCCTCCAGTCTCAAAGCCTTTGTAACTGAGTTGATATCTGTAGAGTCATGCTGGATTTTATTTGAAAGCAGAGCTGGAATACAGATCAGTTACCTCTGCTGACAAGGTCAAAACCCCAGAAATTGAGAGAAGACAGGTTTGTTTCATCCTAGTCACAAGCAGACATTCGTCTGTATCAGCACCATTTCCCTCTTGTGCTGCTGAGAAAGTTACTGTGGGCTTCAGCTGGAGGAAGGACGGATCCTCAGCCAGGACCCAACTGATAGCCTCTGCTTAAAAGACACAGGAAAAACAGGAGTGGTGCAAGGTGAAGTGAGTTTTTCTGGTGGAGCTGTGTGTGGGGAAGTGAGTTGATTGCCTGCATCTATTATGAGTAGCCCAACCCAGTTCTGGAATAACAAGAATGTTGCAAGGCAGAGTGAGATCTTTCAGCGGGGCAGTGCACGGAGGAGTGGGATCAGTACTAACCCCTGACAAAGCTCCGAGCTCCACTCTCGTGGAATGTCTTATTTAACCACAGAAGTGAAGGTGTACATTTTACCTTTCCTGTAAAATAAAGTAGAAAATGAAAGCTTCTAAGCAAATTGTCAAAGAAGATAAGTACGTTACAGAACCATTAATATTTGACCATTATTCTCCTTCAGCAGCAGCTAACCAAAGGTCTACTTTGCCTCTGTTCAAGTCCTACCTAATTTTTTCTCATATTCAGAGCTTCACACATCTCACCTTCCCTGTAGGATAGTCTCTGAGCTGAACTGGCCCAATACAATTAAAAACCTGGAACCCATTTTCCAGTTCTCCACAGTTCCTGTCGATATTAGTCAGGGGACCTCTTCCTAGTTAGACAGATTTTCCCACATTACACAAGACTTGGGAAAGTCAGAGGTTTCCTTGGGAGATGCTTCCTTTGAAATAAGGCACACAATCTTCTCACAAGAAAAATGTATGGGAGCTTGGATTGCCTGTAGGACTGAGCCTGCAAGGAGCTTGCTAAGCCTTAACCTTTCCATCTTTCAGTGAAAGCTAAAATTCGTTCTTTCAAATTTGGGCTGTAGGAAGCCATTAAGTTTGTCACATGCTTCTCTTGGCCTCATCACTCAGAGAAGGAAGACCTCAGGACAAGCCTCTTACAGCTTTCGTAAAAGAAAAAATTGGTCCTGAATTTGTCATAAGAAAGATAGCACAGATTACCTTGCTACCTTGTTTTTCTGTGAGCTAGTAGTTTGTAGACATTTTGATTTCATTTGCATTTTCCACTTATTACAAATATTGTATGAAAATCTCATGATTTTGGTACCTCTGGCAGCGCTGTCAGCCTCCCTGCTTTGAGAGGTAAGCAGGCTTCTGAGGAGTTTCTCAGTCAATTGACTTTATCCTTTCTGTTGTCAAACCTGGAGTTTGCAGTCTTTCGCTTTGGCTAAGTTTTCCTGAAAGAGATTAGGAGTCACATGAGGGAAAGGGATGCTGGTCAGTCAGATTTTGTTATTCTTCCTGAGCAAACCTCACAATCAAAAGGTGTTCCCTAAAGCTCAGCTCAGAGCGGGTTCCTAGACATAAAGTGATTTCTGCTACCTTTACTCGGAAGGTTGTGATGAGTTCTCAGGGGTGAGGGCTGTAAGTTGCCTATGCCTTCGTGGCCTCAAAAACAGACAAATACAGTGCATAGTCTGACCTTATTCTAGTCAGATTCAGTGGATTGTGTGGAACATTGCTCTGTGCTTAATCTGTAATATTGGCCATAAGGAATATATTACACAAGGTCTTTGAAGTCTGTACTGGCTTCCTTTTTGCCTCTGGGCATAACTCAGGATGTTCTTATTGATCTATAAAACCCTATATGCTTTGAGTCGTAAGCAATAAATTCTCTTTCCTTTATCTGCCATTATGACACTTAAGATCAGCCAGGGCACATTGACTGTATCTGCGTCTCGAGGGTTGAGTGCTCAGAGTGGAGGGCACAGGGGCTGGATTTCACTGCTCTCAAGGATCTCTGAGAGATCCCTGAGAGATCCCTGAGCCCATTCTGCTGCTTGGCGTGGCTGCCCACAGCCCCCTGTTTATTCAGATCCTCATAAGGTGGCTGTTGGGAAAGCTCAGGGAAGAAATCTGTTAACCAGATTAATTTAAATGTTTGTACATGTACCCAGGGATGAGGTGGTACAATTTAACTATGTGGGGTGGGTAGTGGTTTTGTGTGTGTGTGTGTGTGTGTGTGTATTTGTTTGTTTATTTGTTTGTTTGTTTGTTTTTGTTTTCCTGCTTAACTTCTTCTTGTATCTTAACAGCCTTGCTTCTAATGGACCTAAATATAGTAGTAAAGCCATCCATCACTCTTCACAGAGAATGGTATCCAGAGGTATCTGCACCTTCAGTTGTGCTTTTGTCATTTTCTGTGATGCAGAAACACACACTTGTCTCCCTGTATGCAGAATACATTGTGTGCAATACATATGCTATGTAAGGGTCCCAGAAGAGAATTCCCTTCTTCATAGATGACTCCATGGTCATTCGTATGCCTGTCAGGATCCCATCCTTCGTGTTTCTGAGGCATTATAATGATGTCCAAAGGGCAAAGTTTTGTGCAGAGTGCACACACCTGTCGAGCAGCACAGAACAGCCACAGGGAACAGAAGGGTATGCATGGACAAGTACAAATGACTTCCAGGGAGCCTCATCCTTGCAATCCATGTGATTGCTGATCACACACAAAATAAGAAGGATTTTCCAATTTTTCCTAATTTTGGACCTGCCCATTTTAAATAATGACAGGAGAGGGCCTGGATTAGAATGAAGGCTGCATGGAAAGATAGGAATAAAATTCATTTTTGTATTTTTATTGTTCGTCCCAAAGAGAAGACCATTAGAGCACTACACTTCTGACTTGTTTCCAAAGTACAGGCTCAGATAAATGACTGCAAAAAAAAGAGAGTGATGTTTATTACTTTGCACCTTAAAACAGAAATGACTGTCAGGCTATTTTCTGTTAAGCAATAAGCATATTAGTAATGTACTTCAAAGCAGCACAAAATGTGATTTGGAGCATGATAAGAGAACTTGTCTGAAAGTGAGGTAAAATTGTAATAAATGTAACTGTTGAGAACTTGTAAGCTGTTGTGCAACAAGTTAGCATACTTCTAAAACTCACACAGAAAACATGTTAGGGAGATACCCCCACCCGCAAATTCCCAAACCAAAGATTTTTTGAATACTGAGTTTTTAAAAAATTAACTGTCCATTTAAAATTTTCTCATTAAATTACACTTGATCCGACAGAAGGCACTACATATATTCTCATTAATGGGAATGGTTAATTAGGTCTGATTTATGTCTTCTTCCTCTCCCTAAGATTTTGTACTGCAGTTTTATTTTTTTTTCTACTTTCTCTTATACATAATGTAGACAGAATAATTTAGGTCAGGCTTTGCCTTCAAAGGAAGCAATTCATCATTTCTATCAGGAAAAAAAAAAAAGACTTTAAATATAGACGGAAAAAGGGAAAATATTTAAGTTTATTTTAAAATTCTATGCAAATTTACAGCAGAGTGAAGAACTGCCTGCACTAATTATAATTGCCACCTCTTCTTGAATATTTGGACTAAGATTTTAAGACCTGACTGAAGACATTGTGGCTTACTATCACCCAAAGTATGTTTTATGATTTTCTGAATACAGAAGAAATGAAAACAAAACAGGGTTTTACAAGCATAAAACTATAGGGACAATGGCTTGTCTATTTGGTGTAACATTTTTGGGAAACTCTTAGGTGGCAGTGAAATATAGCTTTTTTTTTTTTTTTTTTTTTTTTTAAGAGATCTGAGGCAATAAAGCAGGATTTTTTAATATGCACAGACATAGAAGTCAACTGGACTTCTCTATCTACATACTTTCTAAAATGTTGCCCTAAGGAGTAAAAGTCCTATTGATTTTCGGTGAACCAGTCACTTAAATGCTTTTGAAAATTTTACCCTCAGGTTAAAATTCTGAAACTCCTACTCAATGTTAAGCAGGCGAAGTCCCATCAACATGCCCCAGTTGCAAATAAAATAGCAACTGAGTAAGGGTTTTGAAGTCTGTCCTGTTTCTT